TTTTGTTTTGACTTTTTTTTTTTGTACTATGGTCCAATAGGTATTCCACCTCATTCCAAACCTTACGCAAGGAGCGAAGAATCCTAAGCATTCCTCCGCATCATTCTACCTTATTTTATATGGAAGTGTAAATGTGAAATATTGAAACTATTATGAAATATGAGTAAGGTTGTGATATTTTTTTTAAGAAAATAATATTAATAGATAAATTTTGTATGATATATTTAGTTTAACATATTTACTAACGTCATTTTAACATGAAGATTAAAACATTTTTTTTTAAATTATAGAGATTAAAAAATTAAATTTTAAAAAATAAAAATAAAATTATTTCGTATTATAAATTGAAAACATATTTAAATTTTGATATAAAGCATTTGTAAATATGGTATTATGAAAAATGAGGAGAAAATTCATCAACCAACTTGTAATAAATTAAGGGTATAAAAGATAATAACAAATTAATACATTTAAAAGTATATTCATATTTTTTTTTATAATTAGGACCAAAAATTAAACTCTCATATGTTTTCTTATATGTAGGAATATAGGTAACATGTCTTGCGTATTAATTTTTATTTATTAAAATATCTTAATTAAACGTATTTGTTGAGTTCAATAAATAAGGAAAATTTATTTAATTTATATCTTTTGGTATATAAATGGTCTCTGAATGAAAATCTTTGGAAACATATCAAATGTCTTATTAATTTAGGAGTACTTAAAAAATATATAAAGTAAAAATATATTTATTGAGTTTAATAATTTATTTTTACTTATTTTTGATGAATAAGTTATAAAAATCCTAAAAGGATTGGATATAATATATTTATAATTGTTCTTAATTTATGTATATAAAATACTAAATTTTAGTTATTTTAAGATATAAATAAGAGAAATGCTAGAGATATCTTTCTTAACACTGTTTATTAACTATTTTTTTTTATGGAAGTTAAAATTTATTAAAAATCACAAACTTTCTAAACGTTTTATTTAATAAGTTTGTTATCAAGAGAATATTTGAGAGAATGTGACTAATATTTACCTAAAAAATATCACACCGTTGCCATATAGCCAAACTTTTTTGGTAACCATAAGTGAGTTCTGCAAGTGAGATTTCTCACTCAAAAACTGAGTTGTTCCAACAATTAAGCTTTTACTTATGAATTAATCATACATACATTGTGAGTGTAAAATTTTTTACATTGACAACTAATCATATCTTTTAAATTATTTTATTTTATTAAATAAATAATTGATAGATACTATTAAAAAATATGATTAATTATTTATATAAAAAAACTTTATTTTGACAATATATAAGTGATTAACTATTTATTTATTATATTAATTTGAAATGCAAAATTTATTGGGTGTTTGCCAAGACTTTGTCCCTTCCACTTTCTCTTTCATTTCCTGTACATTAAGTTTTTATGGTACCATAATACAAAATCAAGACTTCACCCTTTCCACAGTCTGTTTCATATTTTTGTAAAAAATGTTTTTTTATTGATGTTGTCCACTGTTTACATGACAACAAATATTTTCTTTGCATTTTAAAATATTAATATATTAATTCAATGTACTAAACTACTAGATATCATCTTAATTCTCTTTGTTGGTGTATTAATGACAAGTATTATACCTGTTTTTATTGTTATTATATTATTTTGACAAATATCTCTCTATTTCAAAAGTTTTAAGAGATAAAAGGATGATAATTGGGTTATTTGTAAAAGGAAAATGAGTATCACACTTTGTTTTAATTGTGTTGACATGCGAGTAAAATTAAAAAATAAATAATCTCATCAACCTATTTTAATTGTTAATTATGATCATTGTTTGAGAGCTTTTCTTTGTGAGAGGTTCATCTTTTACATTACAAGTTACAATGATCATGGTTATGAGTTTTGGAAATCAATGAATAAATGTCCATTTTTCCCTCTCAATATTAGATGAAAATGTGTTTAAGTTGAACATGTTTGATTGAGTTAGTTTGTTATACTTATTTGGTGACTAACTAATATATATGAGATATAGAAGAGGTTAAGAATCAAAGATTTTGAAATCATTTATTTGTGTTTTATGTTAAAATTATTTATAGTTTTTTTATTACTATGAAATTTAGTAAAACTAATTATAAATAGTTAATACAGTAAATTATTATTTTTTATACGATGTAAACTCTTACACAAATTTATTGATTAGAAACTTCGTATAATTTTTTTTATTACAAAAAACACTTAAATTTCATTTTGTGATATTAGTGTGTCATTTAATAAATTAGATTAGATATAAATTAATTATAAAGTGTAACAATTTGTTTAATAATAAGATTTCGTTGATCACAATACAACAGTTATATATTTACATATTTAAGCCTTAAAATATTTAACAATTTTTAATTCATTATATAATATTTACTTGTTATTATAAATATTTTGAAAATAGTATATTAATAATATTATGAATTAATTAAGAGTGTATCCGTGCACCTGGAGAATGGTATGATCATATTCTAGGTTTTATTTGGTTACATTTAGCATAGAATTAAGAGGCGATGGAAGAATGGAATGATGAGATCCTAAGCAAAATTATAAGACAGAAGCATGGAATCAATATTTGTGTATAATCCTAAAAATAAAATAAAAATTATAAATTGAAGAAAGAGAAGAAGGGTTAGGTGGTTAGAGAGATTCATTTGGTTGGGTTGTGTTGGAGTGAAGGCATTCAATTGGCAACAAGCAGAGCATAAAGTCTTGAGAAACAATGATTGTACGTAAATTCCAATCCCATCTTCTCTAAATTCATCCAATTCTTTCTGTTGCCAAATCGAATCCAACCGTTTACGTCTCTGCCTCGATTACTCCGCTTTTTTCAAACTAAATCTTCAACTCAGGTCATTGCGGTCACTGTTCCACTTTTTCTGTCATCGGTTTTAGTTTGCTTGTTTCTCCCTCGGTGTGTGTGCTGTTATCATCGATGCTTTCATTGCGTTTGACCTTAGGAATGAGATCATGACTCGGATTTTTCAGAGAACTATGTAATTACTGTTCTTTATATTAATGGGAGACTTTCAAAAAGTTGTTTTTCTTATAGATTGAGTGTTGTTGTCTTTCAAGGGAGTTGCTTCAGGACTGATTTTACTATCGGAGGTCAAAATCCAGGTTTAAAAGGGATAAAGGGGGAGATGCTAGTTTTAGCTTCTTTCATCTGGGAAAGGCATGTTGAATCTTCTCATGAGCAGTGGGTCCGAACTTTTCTACTTTGGAGCCATTGCTGCTGGTTAGGTTTAATGATTTTGGCAAAAAAAATTTAGTGGAGAAAAATTCTCTTATTTTGGGTTAGGATTGTGTATATAACCTCTTTGTAGTGTTCTGCAAATAGTTATTTTAAAGGATTCATCTTGTCTGACTTGGATGGATATTGTATATTTTTGCTGCATTTCTTGTCTTGTGTTTTTCTTTGTGCTGCCAAGGCGGAATCCCTCTAATAGTATTTATTTATTTTTATCCAAATAATAAAAACTTTTTGGGTCCATTTTGCACATAAAATTGGAATTGGTTTAGAATCATTATTCTTATCTTTGAGTAGATTTATACTTTTAAGCCGCATTACAATTCCATCTTGACACCTCTAATTAGGATAGTCATGGAAGGGGTAGCATTGGATTTTGGTAAAAAAATTGATCCATGGGTAGAGATGACAACAACTTTGGCGGTGGTGACAGGCTGGCAGCTTAGGGTGAAATGGTGGTCGACAATGGAGACAGTGGCAATAGTTGGTGTCAACAACAATGTTAAGTGTTAACTACGATTAGGGTGGGAGTAGCGATGATGAGAGTAGTGATGATGTGAATGGCAAAAAAAAAGGGAGAGTGGTTGTTTAGTAGTGTGGAGGTGAGGTTTGGAATTGTAATTCAGAACTGGGAGTTATAAATTAGGAATAGTTAGTTTTAGATGTGTTATAATTCCATTAAATTGGAACTTGAAATTGTGGTTCGAATTCTCAATAAACTTCCGAGCATCATAATTAAAATTTCAATGTCAAATTCTAATTCCAAGCCCCAATTCCATGTCTAATTCTATGTGCCAAATGGACACTTGTAGAAGAGGAAAATTCCATTAACATTTGATCCAAAATTTTCGTGCACACGCAGACACTTGTTTTATACTTCATTTCTGTATTTATAATATATATGAAGAAATTTTGACACTGTTGTTAAATTTGCAGTAAGAGCAACTATACAATGGCCCTTTCCATTGTTGCTTTGTAAATGGAAGCAGTTCTTATTGCACGTTTTTTCCAAGTATATCAGATATTTGCTGGGGATTAAGTGAAAAAGACTCCATGGTAAACACAAAAGTGCCTAGTCAACCAAAAATATGCTACAGGCCTATTCGACCTTCTGACCTAGACATTTTAGAGCATATCCATGGCAGATTGTTTCCCATCAGGTGAGATCATGTGCTGTTTTATTGATTTCAAGGTTGGACACTTGAAATGGTGTTTACCCAAAGATATCTACAATTCTCAGGTATGAATCTACTTTTTTTCATGATGTCGTAAATGGACGTGACATTGTGTCTTGGGGAGCTGTTGACAGCAGTCGGCCGGATGGTCGAAGTGATGAACTCATTGGATTTGTAACGGCACGGATTGTTCTTGCAAAAGAAAGCGAGGTTGATCCCATTTATGTACAATTGTATGCCTTTTGTGATTTTGTCTAATTACTTGAAGCATACCTTGAAAAAGTTATCTGTCCATCATTGCTAAATCTTGTGCTGAGAAGAGAATGTGTCCTATTTCTACTACTCTGTAAATGCATCTTTCCCGTGGAAAGTGTAGCTATTGTAATGCTTTCACAATTTATTGGCTATAAGGGGCTATGTTATGTAGAAAATTCTTGTTGGATTTTTTTTTATATGTATTCAATCAATCTTGCTAACCCAATGTTGATGGAAATTGGAAAAATACCTTTCAATAAACCTGTTCAAATGTCTAAACTCTAATGTACAAGCCGTGGAGACTCCAAGAGAAACATGATGGGAAAGTACATCTCGTAATATCCATAGTCCGATTCAATCAATCATTTTGATCTGAAGACAACCATGACAAACTTAATGTAGTATTGTGTAATCCTTGATATCCACAGTCTGCTCATGTGACTTGATTGCTTTATTAATTTTCTGTTGCTAACCTTTAGATAACAATTTACTAAAACCAAATTTTCAATAAATCTGTTCAAACTGTCCCATAGGGTATGCCCTACTTAAAATGTAAATATTTGAAACCTTAATTTATTTTTCTGATGATTTGTGAATTTTTTATTGCATGAATATTATTCTTGTAGATAGTGGATATGCTTGGATATGACTCAGCCAAATCTGACCAGACATTAGTCTATGTTCTGACGCTGGGAGTAGTGGAAGCATATAGAAGTCTTGGAATAGGTAGGTGTTTTGCGCTTTAATTTTGTTGAATTCCTCTATAATATAAATTGGTAGTCTAATTAGTGCCTCATTTACAGCTTCTTCTCTGATTCGGGAGGTCATAAAATATGCTTCAAGTATTCCAACCTGCCGAGCTGTCTACTTGCATGTAATCTCTTACAATAACCCTGCAATCAATTTGTACAAGAAAATGTCTTTCAAGTGTGTGAGAAGGTTGCAGGGATTTTATTTGATCAATGGGCAACATTATGATTCGTTCTTATTCTTGTACTATGTAAATGGGGGACGGTCTCCTTGCTCACCATTGTAAGTACAAAATACCTTTCAACTTTCATCCCTTGATTTGTTCAGACTGGTCTTACATGTTATGCTTTAAACGAATCCTATTATAGATAGTGTAGAAGTTTTTACCCGCGATATGAATTTCTGAACCTTGATAAGGTTGAACTTGAACCAATTAGTGTCCTCGCATTCTTTGTTGATATATATACATGTTTTGACTTGATGTGTGAAAAATATTTTATATCTTTGTTGCAAGTTGTTTTGGGTAATATAATTTATCAAGAGAAATGACAGTGACCCTCTCCTTAACACTCTTTTATTAATACTATTTTTACTATTAGTTGACAATCATAAATAACCAAGCCTTTTTGGTCCAGTGGTTGTAAGGCCTGTCCTGGGACACAAGAAATCTACATGTTGCTCCCAGGTTCAATTCCCATTTGTGTTAAAATAATGTTTGGTCTGCAGAGCCATGTCCCACTAATATAGATTAGTTCTTGATTGTCAGTTTTGGAATACTACGTGAACCATATCCATAGACAAAAAAAAAGTTGACAATCACAAATTTTTGTGGTCCTCCTACTAAATTAGCAGAGAAAATCATTAAATGAAATGTGAGACCCACAAGGTTTATGATTTTCTATAAATTTTAGCTTATAACATAGAGATTGTTAGAAAGGGTGACGTTAGTATTTTTCATTGGGCAATCAGATGATGCAATCATGCAATTGAAAACGATTGTCGACTGATTTTCAAATTTAAAATTTGAATACAATGTTGCCTTAGTTTTGGTTGCCCAACTGACTGGCCTTTTTGTATTTAATGTGTATGTGAGCTACATGCATCCTTTTTTCTAAAATGTAAATCCTTTCCAGAATTGTAATTTCCATTTCACATTTCAGAGAGCTTCTCACTGCACTAGTAAGCTACATGAGGAGTGGGTTTAAATCGGTGGCTGCAAGGCTGTGCAAGAACGGAGGCAGAAAGATCTCAAGGCGGACAAAGTGTAAAGAAAGTCATTCTCTTGTGTCAGCACCCAACAAAAGAAACGTTCCAGTCGAGTGTTCTGGTTACGAGTGTGTTTAATATATATATATATATATTTTAAGTTTTCTGTTCCCTGTATCATTCAACCTCACAATTGATTCCCTCTAGAAATGTCATAATAAACTTCCTCGATCCAGTGAATTCCCACACTGTTAGGTGATAATAATAATCTTCAAGTTTATGCGATCAATGAAATTTGTGATTGTGTTTGATCATTGTAACAATTGGCAGGAGTACCAGGACAAGTAGCTTTCGTTCAGTAGTTCATCTCTTCTAACTAAGAGCACCTACGATCAAATGAATGCAGATTCTTGGGTCTAACTTTAGAAAGCATAAACTTTGAAATAGGATTCACAAGCCATAAAACCTTCCATGTCAAGCATTAAACATGACCTGTAGTCTGTAGATCTCTGGTTATCCGAGACTGTTGCATATTCTTGACCGGATGAATGAAGCAAGAATAGATTCTTGAAGAAATAATGAACCCCTGCGCCATTTGGTAAGCGATAATATGATACGTATAAATTATAATTTAATTGAAAACAAGAGCTATATTTTATTCAAAGTTAAACATGAATAAACATAGTGATTACAAATAAAATAGATTAAACTGCTTGGTTAAATGAATAAATGACTTGTTTAATTTATAGTTGAAAATTGATTTCTACATGCTAAAACACATTTTAATACAACGTCTCTTAAAAAATAAGCTTATTTTCACAAAACTCCATTTGCAAAATTGCCAACTAAACCAAACAAACATTAAATTTACTTTCCTAAGTCTTATAATTTGTAATTAGATATTTAATTTTGATATACATATTATTTCAATGCGTATTTGAATTGAACATTCAAAAAGGAAAACAAAAAATTATTTAATTTTTGGGTAGTAACACTATTTATAATATGCACTTTACTATTGTAGAAAATTATAAAATAATAATAGACTCAATAAATAAGAAATAAGATTTATCAAAATTTAATTTATAATAAACATTGTGTTCGATAGAATATGTCACACAGTGTCGTAATTTTTAAATTATTAGCAAGTGTTTCCAAATATAAGATATATATGTAATTTGCAAAAAAAAAGAAGATGTATTTGATTCACGCATCGTGTTAGCGTGCGTGCACTTACACGTGACAGTTGTAAGCTACACATATGGAGAAGGGATGATGCGGAAGTGAAAGAAAAATCTGAAAAATCGAGAGGCTGCGTCCATTTCCGTGTCTGTGTCCGAGTCCGAGCGGGTGGTGCCGGTGCCTATATAACCACCCTCTGTTCTTACTTCTCACGCTCCCTTTCCATTTTTGCTTTCTCTCCGTTCTCTTCTGCGACTCACTGAGTCCAACGAGTTACCATGCCTATGCCTATGGCTATGGCTTCTTCCACTCCAACCTCTCTCTCCGTCGTCGGAACTAGCCTCGCCTTCCCTCGCCACCACCTTCACCCTCCCGCCGCGTCATCTACTCGCTTCCGCACTCGATTGCGCAACAACCGCTTGTTCCTATCTTCTCCCCCGAGGTACTATAACTTCTTTCTCTCTCTCTTCAATTGCTGATACTTTCAATGTCAAATTCGTGTTTCTTTTACCTAATTCGTCTTCCTGTATTGGTGAAAGAACGAGGCACAAGGCTGTTTGTGGTGGATTGAATTTGCGGAGGAATAAACCTCGCGGCCACGCGTTCGTCGTTGGCGAACCCTCGTTTTTGGTGCCGCAACAACGGAGTTGCGCCTCTTGCTGTCTTGCCAAGAAACGCCGTTCCAATCTTGCGACATTCGTGCCTGGAGCTTTTCTTGATAAGTCTGGCTTCCGGTTATGTAACGATAAACTCCGTCGTTCTTCTGTGAGTTATTATTACTCGCTTCGTTTTTAGCTGGTTATTATTACTTTCTTGATAAATCTTGCAACAGATATGTAGGTTTGTTTGAGTCTTGAATCATCGTTATATCTAGCGTTCAAGATTATTAGTACTACTTATTATCTGAATGACAATGAAACAAGGGAAGGGAAGTGTCTCGTGTATTGAATTTTACTTTGTTGAACTTGGAGCTTTTGTCATGTTTTTCTTGCTCAAAGATTTTCCATGCTGCTACCAATATTCAGAGCAATTTGATGCTTCTTGAAAATGTTTTATGTTGAAGCTTCTGGTTCTGGTACACATAGGTAAATTTGGAGGACATTGTCGTATGTTTGTTTTCGTTCTCCTTGGATATTGTATACTTGCGATATGATTGCTTTTGTGCATAATTTATGTCATTTTTCCATTATTCTCAAATATCAGATGTTTGTGTTAATTTTTTTTCAGGTGAAGCCGGTTCAAATTCCGCATGCAACTGTTGGTCCAGATGAGCCACATGCAGCAAGTACCACCTGGCCAGATGGTATTGCAGAAAAACAAGATTTAAGTGTATATGATTCTGAACTGGAGCGGATAGAGGGATTTCTTGGTTCTGAACTTCCATCTCATCCGAAGTTGCATCGAGGTCAACTGAAGAATGGGCTGCGTTATCTGATTTTGCCAAATAAAGTTCCACCAAAAAGGTGAAGTTCAATAATTTTTATGAATTCATTCCAAAAATAGGATGTGTTTCATTGTGGAATAATGGATTTGCTGATTCTGATTTGTCATCCTTGAGTTTGTTTATTAATGATCAAATTCAAGGATAAGATGAAAGATATTTTAAGAGTGTTCTGAGTTGAAATGTATGTATAACATCAACACTTTTGAAGTGAATAATTTAGTTTGCCATCGCATCACTTCATAATAAAATTGATAGAGTCAAATCTCAAATGTTTATATGGTTTTTTTATTTTCTCTTTGAACAGTTGTATTGCTGCAATATAGTGGTGATAAGAAGTTCAAAATTTCTAGTGCACATGTATGCATTGCAGGTTCTCTAGAATGTGCTTGTACTAACTACTTAGTGTCAACTGATTCCATTTTAGGTTCGAAGCACACTTGGAAGTTCATGCAGGATCAATAGATGAGGAGGAGGATGAGCAAGGGATTGCACATATGATTGAACATGTTGCTTTCTTAGGAAGTAAAAAACGTGAGAAGCTTTTGGGAACAGGAGCTCGTTCAAATGCTTATACTGATTTCCACCATACAGTGTTTCACATCCATGCTCCAACGACCACCAAGGTATAGGCCATTTGGCGTGCTGTTCTTTGTGATGTATTCAAATATTAGTTCTTTGATATTTTTTAATTAGAATTTTGGACATTTATTGAACTTTTAATTACTAATTTAAATTAAGCATATGAGAAAAGGGTAAAATGATGTTTCTTGTGAACTCTGTCCAAGCAATATGTGGAAGTTATTGATAATGTAATGAATATATGAATAATTCATTTGTTGAAAGCACAGTATTTGACTAACTGTAAATTTTTTTGACTTTAGTTGTAAGAAGAAAATTTTCATGAATACTCCCACGTTCTAAGTGCTCAGCGCTTAAAATTTGTTACGTGTATAGGTAAATCCATGGCAATTGAGGATATGTAAATCGTATTCTTTAAAGAGACTCAACATGATATTCAGAGAAGAAAATCCACTAGGGACAGTCTTAGGAAAGAAACTTTTCTAGAGAGAGAGAGAGAGAGAGAGAGAGAGAATGAAATGGAAGAGCAAAGATTATAAAGGTTGAAATTTGATAATGATGTTTACTATGTTTGTGTTAAAATTATTCATCGGCACCTTTAAGCTGCATACAACTTTCCAATTTCTATCCTTCTTTAATCTTAGATTTGTCTGTCTTGTTACTGGGCTTCATATTCTTTAGTGCTTAATTGTTATTAGGACTCATCATTTAAAATATTTCGAAAGTGATCATGTATGTCTTGTTTCCAATATGTGTATATATGCATTCAATTATATTGAACTGTTTAATATTTTATTGATGTTGTTGATTATAAATGGGTGTTGTGTGTCAGGATTCTGATGGTGATCTACTTCCATTTGTTCTGGATGCCTTGAATGAGGTATACTTTATTGAACTATGCTTTATTTCATGCCATATAAGCCTCTACTTGAAAGTGGAAAATAGAGTAAATATGTATGTGTTACCTCTTGGTTGGAATTTTACTCACAGCTTATTGTTATTGATGCATGCAGATAGCCTTCCACCCAAAGTTTCTTGCTTCTAGAATTGAAAAAGAAAGGCGTGCTATACTATCAGAGCTTCAAATGATGAATACAATAGAATATCGAGTTGATTGTCAGGTGAGGAACATATCTCTTGGAAATTAAAGCTATCAACTTTGTGTTTCTGCAGAATATTGACTCAATTTTATTGTTTCCCAATTGCATTGCTTTTAATTTCTGTAATTGCAGTTGTTACAGCATCTGCATTCTGAAAATAAGCTGAGCAAAAGGTTTCCCATTGGATTAGAAGAACAGATAAAGAAGTGGGATGCAGATAAAATACGGAAGTTTCATGAGCGTTGGTATTTCCCTGCAAATGCTACCTTGTACATTGTGGGGGATATTGATAACATCACAAAAACTGTTTGCCAGATTGAAGTATGTCCACATTTGCAAATTAGTAGGTTTGGTTATGATCATTGTTATAATATTTAGGAATCTTATACAATGAACTGTTGTCATGCAGGCAGTTTTCGGACAAACTGGTGTAGACAATGAGAAAGGTTCAGTGGCCACTCCAAGTGCATTTGGTGCAATGGCCAGTTTTCTTGTTCCTAAGCTTTCTGTTGGTTTGGGTGGAAATTCTATTGAAAGATCAGCCAATGCAATGGATCAATCAAAAATATTCAATAAGGAAAGGCAAGCTGTTCGTCCTCCTGTGCAGCATAATTGGTCACTTCCAGGGAGTGGTGTTGATTTGAAGCCACCACAAATATTTCAACACGAGTTACTTCAAAATTTTTCAATTAATATGTTCTGCAAGGTATGAAGAGGTTGAATTGTGTGATTCTTGAGTTCAACTTGTAGATTTTGCAGTTGCTTTTGTATATACTTTTTGTCTTCCCCCAAGAATTGCCTTTTCTTTGTCTTTTTTGTTAATTTTTATTTGCATGTGATTAAAATTTTTGGAGCTGATAACTTGGTTGGAATCAAGTTTATAGAACCATTTGTGGTGGTGAAATGATCAACAGAGGATGTTGGACATAACACATAAAAGGACATGCATATGTGATTTACTGGTTCATATCAAGGTCTACTGGT